GAGCTAAAAACCCGGCTACAACATAGTTTTTAACACTGCAATTTTCCATGCATTTTACTGGTCATAAATAAGCTACATGGCCATGCCTTAATTCACCAGCAGTATGTATATTCCTCCTATATGCAAAGTAACCAAATCTTCTATAGTTCTCCCACACAAATCTATTCTTCCTTTCACATCCATTTTCTGAGCTTATGGTCATCTGGCTTAAGGTGACATTTTTCTAAACTCCTTTAAAAACAGTAATGGCCATGTGATTGTGTTTTTTCCCAAACAAACAGTACAGTATGTACAACTTCTTTATTAAAAGGAAATTATAGCTAGGTGTAGTGGTGCATCCCTATAATACTGGCACTCTGTGAAACTAAGGGAGGAAGTCTGTAAGTCTGAGCCCAGCCTGGGCAACTCAGCCCAGTGAAAGCCTGTCTCAAAATTAAAAAGTATAAAAAGAGAAGGGAGCTTAAGGGGATGTAGCTCAACACAAAAGCCCTGGATTCAATCCTCAGGACCTCAATTAAGCAATGGAAGCTGCTTCACCTCGATTTTCTTTCCCCAGCCTGAAGCACATTCTAACACACAGAAAATGCCCTAGAGTGGTATAATGAAATGGGAAGAGTTTGGGTCCCAGAACAACCTCAAGTAACACCTCAAAGAACCTTAAGAATCTAGACCATGTGCTCACTTCGGCAGCACATATAATAAAATTGGAACGATACAGAGTAGATTAGCATGGCCCCTGAGCAAGGATGACACGCAAATTCGTGAAGCGTTCCATATTTTTAATATATTTTAGAAATAATATATCAAATAACTCAACTAACTCCCCCCAAAAAAGAATCTAGACCAATCATTATTTTGACAGAAAGTAATAAATTTACTGATTATTTAAGCAATTATATTTTACGGTCCCTCTGTTGTAGTGGTTTAGGCTCTCATATAGATTCATCAATCATCATTTTTTAATATAAATGCACAATACGTAATTTATTAAATATTAAAAATATTCAAGATGAAGATATGAGTCATTTTCATAGGAGATAAAGAGACTGAGTAAATAAAGACTTCAGCAAAGAAAACCCCCAGAAGGCCTCATTGCTAAATTTTAAAGTAATATTTAAAGAATTAACATTAATACAGTACTTCACAAAAAATGTTTAAGAATTAAACAGAAAACATTTTCCAACTTATTCTATGAGGACAGTATTACCTGAATACTAAAACCAAAGACATCACAAAAAACAACTATAAAACAGTATCTCTTATGAATATAGAAACAAATTCTTAAAAATAAATTTAAAAAAACAAATCGAGTGGGCTGGGGATTTAGCTCAGAGGCACACACCTGTCTTGCAGGTGCAAGGTCCTGAATTCAATACCTGGTACCCTCCCCCAAAAAACAAATCTAGGAAAGTAGACAAAGGAATACACACACACACACACACACACACACATATACACACATATATACATACATATATGTGTATATATGGAGAGAGAGAGAGAGAGAGAGAGAGAGAGAGAGAGAGAGACCATATGGGACTTATTAGAGGTTGGTTAGGCATATGAAAAATCAATCAATCTAATGTACCATATTAATGGAGTAAAAGACAAAAACCACAGAGTTATCTCAACAGAAGCAGAACCATCACAGGACAAAAATAGAACAGGCTGTCGTGATTAAATGAAAAATAATAATAAATGCATACACACATACAAATTAAAAATTTGTGCTTTAAAGAGCATTATCAAAAATATGAAAAGATTAGACCTGGTAGCACATGACAGAAATCCCAGATATTTGGGAGACTGAGACAGAAGGATTGCAAGATCAAGGCCTGCCCAGGCAACTTGGCAAAACCCTGTTTCAAAAATGAAAAATGAAAAGGGCTGGTGATGCAGTTCAGGGCTCGCTAGATTCAATCTCCAGTACCTCACAAATGAATCAATCAAGTGAAGAGACAACACAAAAAAATGGGAGAAAGCATTAGGAAATCCTAAATGTGGTAAGGGTCTAGTATACAAACACTTTCACTCACACACACACACACACACACACACACAGTCTTACAGGGCTGGGAATTTAGCTCAGTGGCCCTGCGCCTACCTTGCAAAGGCAATATCCTGAGTTTGATCCCTGGTACCAAAAAAACCAAAACAAAACAAAACAAAAAACTCTTACAACTCAAAAACAAAAATGTCAACATCCAAGTAAAACACAGGTAAGGACAAAAAGGATAAACAAGGGACAATAAACACATGAAAAGAATGCTCAACATAGTCATTAAGAGAAATTCAAATCAAAACTAAACTTCACAACCACTACAGTGGTTATAATAAAATAACACAAACCAAAACAAAAACACAGTAAGATACTGGTGAGGAGGAATAAAGAAAAGGAATCCTTATATGTTCCTGGTAGAAATGTAAAATGGTGCACTTATTGTGGAAAAGTTTAAGAGTTCCTCACAAAGTTAAGTATGGAATTATCGTATGATGCAGCACTTCCATTTAGGGTACACACTCTAAAGAAACAAAATTATGTGTGTACCCCAAAATTTGTACACAGATATTCAAGTACTATGTGATACCATTCGAACAAAATATCCAAGAGATGGAAGTAAATCAAACATCATAAACTTATATAGATAAGTAAAATCCAGTATATCCACACAATGGAGTACAATTCAGATATAAAAGGGAACAAAGTACCAATACAAACTACAACATGGATGAAATGAAAATATCATGTCAAAAGAAAGAACCTAGACACAAAAGACCATATGTGACATGATTCCATTTATATTATCCAAAATATGCAAACTTATGGAGATAGAAAATAGATTAGGGGTAAAGAATACAGGGAGAGTATAGGGGTAGAGAGTATAGGGTACAGAATATAGGATATAGAATTTCCTTTCACTGATGAAAACGTTCTGGAACTAGATACTGGTGGTGTCTATAAAACAGTGTGAATATACTAAATGTCAATAATGGTAAATGTTAAATAAAAGAAAGCAGGTGTGGGATATATAGCTCAGTGATAGAGCACATGCCAAGCCCACATGAGGACCTGGGATCAATCCCAGCACCATTTTAAAAAAAAGGAAGCAAACAGACAAAAAGGAGTACATATTATATGATTATTTATATAAAACATGCAGAAGAGACAAATTTATGAAGTCATAAAATACCTTAGTGGTTGCTATGGGCTTAGGGAAGGGGACTGACTGCTATGAAGTTTCCTTTAGGGTGATAAAAATGTTGTGGATTAGTGATGATGGCAGCACAACTTTGTAAATATACTAAAAGCCACTGAATTGTAGAATTTAAAAGACTGAATTTATGCTATGTAACTATATTTCAATTCAAAAAATAGATGAACTAGAACCAAAATCAGAGAACTGATGGGATTTTATAATCATCTCAATTCTGAGATCTTACAAAGGAACTAATTCTAAACAGAATAAAATAAATTATATATGACCCGAAAGTTTATTATAGTAGAATGAGGATTAGTAAACAAGATATTTCAGTTCTCAGAATATTAAAAAATTAAAATTAAAAAAACCTTTAACAAATTTATTCATAAGGGATTACATTCTTTGTAGTCCTGTAAAACCAATGTCCTGAAATCCTAGCATCTTTTTAAATTCTAAAACCTTGATTCATTAATAATCATTCTGTTATAAGCAAAATGGCAACTTCAATGGTATTTGAAAAGCACTGAGTAATTAAAAATTTGTTCACTTATTCACTTTAGAATACTACAGAGATTTAAATTAAACATTATTGGGCCGGGGATTTAGCTCAGTGGTTCTGCTGCCTGCCCCACAAGCACAAGGACCCAAGTTCAATCCCCAGTATCAATCAATCAATCAATCAATCAATAAATAAAACACTATTTAACCAAGCTTTCAGAAAACAGCATCAAATTTGTGAAATACTGAGTTCACTTTGCAGTGCTTCGAACTTGTGCAAAAATATTGTAATATATTGCATACGGGATTTTTGAAAAATTTGACAGTCTTACCATTTAGAGCTGGGAGCCTATGTTCCCTCCACTTGACTCTGGGCAGAGCTGTGACTGCTTCAACCAATAGAGTATGGTGGAAGTGACCTTTCTAAATTCCTGACCTAAAGAATCATTGAGCTGATTAAAATGATTATTGTTTTACATCACTTAAGTTGAAGTGGTGTATTATACAGCAAAGTTAACTGGAATAGCACATAATACAAACAAGGAACTCTTGTCTCTGATGGTTCCCCTTTACACAGCACTCTATAATCATATACTTTCTTAAGGAAAAAAAGGCCAGATACGTAAATATACATACATACCCATTTTTTAAAAAGTAGACAAGAAATTATTTTTCAATCACCTAAAACATAAACTAATATTTTAGTATGTTACAAGAGTCAAAATATCCCCAAAGGACATCTTACAAATATACCATGTACAATACCATAGGTTTTGAAAAATTATATGGTTCTCCACATTGAGATACAAATTCAGACAATTTATACTGAATAAATAGTCTTCCTTTTAACAAGGTCCTTCCTAAAACTGATTTCCATTAGTCAGATTATACTCATTAACCAAAGGTTTGGCCTTGTGAATAATTTTTAAAAGTTTTTCATACTGGACTAACAGGCGTTGGGACATTTTACCTTTTTATCTATATCTTACTTGATGTGATTAGGATGATTTTAAGGATTTAATGAGCAGATTAATGAGTCTTAATGAGAAGATTTAATGAAAAATTCTGAGCACTATTTTAGATGTAAAAGAGACATAATAACTCCGAAACCTAACTTTAGGACTCAAGGCTACTGCTTAGTAGCAGTAAAAGAGGAGACTCATACACTAACAGATAATATGAATTTTAGAGTTGTATACTGAATTTTATTACTATAAAAGTTAAGCATCTGATGAAATGTAAACATTATTTTTACTAAATACAGTATTTCAATAATAGAAAAGGTAATTCACAAATAGTTACCTTGATCAAGTATTTTTCCCATCTGTCTGCTGTAACAGATTTGCCAATCTTCCTCATCAACTTCAAATGGAGCTCCACCAATTCTTTTGGTACTTAAAAGAGGAAGGGAGAAAATACTATTAGTTATTTTGTAAATGAAAAAACAAAAAAATTTTCCCCATAAATACTTTTTCAACACAGATGACACTGATTCTATTTTTTGCACCTGTGTATCAAAATAGCCTAAACTAGAGCAAGAATTCTTCAAAACTATTTAACAATGAGCAGGAATACAATCTTTGAAACTGCTATCAAGATACAATGAAATCTAATATAAACTACAGACTTTAGGTGATAATTATTGTAGATTCATCAGTTTTAACAAATGTACCACTATAGTGCAGGATATACATAATGGAGGAAGTCTTGCATGTGTGGGGACAGCCAGTACATATGAATCCTGTGAACGTTCTGCTTAATTTTTTGTGAACAAAAATCTGCTACAGGATTCCGGAAAGATGGCAGAGTGGTGAATAGAAGAGAAAGATCCTCTCCAAGAATTACTGTCCAGATGCTGGAATATAGCAACGTAAGGTAGAGAAGAGGGAAGTGAGTCCCTGGGACCCAGGAAGCATCTGAAGTGAGTACTGAAGCCCATGGGGAAAGCAAAAAGAGAAACTTCAACAAAGGAGGTGGCAAGCGGCACTTCCCCCCCCGCCCCGACCCCCAGCCTTGACTCACTGAGTGGGAGGGGTGGCTCAAACCTGCAGATGCACAGTGACTACTGGCAACCCCAGAGGGCTCCACAGGGAAACATGCAGTGGAATGGAGCACTAGGCACAGTGAACTACTGGAGAGGAGTCAACTGCATTCAGAACTCAGACCACTGCAGGCTGGCTCAATCTAGCAACAGCCAGGGAGAGCCTGCTGAGTTAAGTCAGCAGGAGGTCAAGGAGCCGAGTTGCAGCTTGCAGGGACCAACCACATGGATTATCTGGAAAAAAATCGAGGGGTCCCAGCCTCACAGTCAGAAACCAGCCTGACCCGTAGTAGAACTAAAAGTACAGGCTTCCTGGGATTATCCACTACCCCACCGTAAATCTATGGCTGGCTTGCTGGGATTAAGCAACACAGATCTGGACTCTGGCTGCCCACTCTGTCTACCAGTGACAGCAGAGACATGCCTTGAAATAGGCATTTTGTTTTCTTTTTTTAAATTTTCTTGTTGTTTTGTTTTTTCTTGATCATTCTTGTTTTTATATGAGTGTGAATATTGTTTCCAGGGTTTTTTTGTTATTGTTCTGTTCTGTTACTCTTTTATTTCTTCCTTCTCTTTTTCTGCTGCCTTCTTCACCAAGTTTCCCAACTTCTTGAGTCTTGCTTCTAATCTCGCCCTCTTCTTCTATTTCTCTATTCCTCCCACCCACTCACTTTTAAATGTTCTCCCCGGAGGATAAAATCACCATATTGGGGGGCCAGGGATTTAGCTCAGTGGTTTCACCGCCTGCTGCGCAAGCTCAAGGACTCCCCGGTACCAAAAAAAAAAAAAAAAAATCACCATATTGAGGGCTTATTTACTGTATACAATTTTCTGGTTTGTTTTAGATTTTGTTATATACCCACAAATCTAGTTCACACAGTTAAAGGTGGCAAATTAATAGCTACCACAATTTGTCACTTTCTAGGCTGTGTTTGATGTTATTGTTATTGCTGACTGTACTATCTTAGCCTAGGTGACATAATTATTCTAATCAGCTGCTCTCTTCCTGGTGTGGAGTAAGGACAGGAAAGGAAAAAGTTACATAATCATTATCTATGGATGACATGATACTTCATATAGAAGACCCTAAAAACTCCACCAAAGACTTGTAATTTTTTTTTTTAATGGTGAGATAGGGGCTCACTATGTAGTTCAGCGTGGCCCTGAACTCCCTATACAGCCCAGGCTGGCCTTGAACTCATGGCAATCCTCCTGCCTCAGAATACTTCTAGATTACCAAATTCAGTAGCATAGCTGGATATAAAATCAACACTCAAAATCAATAGCATTCCTGTACACAAATAACAAACTCACAGAGAAATTAGGGAAACAATACCTTTCGTAATAGCATCCAAAAAAATAAAATAACCTAGGAATCAATCTAATGCAGTAAGTAAAAGACCTTTATATTGAAAACTACAGTACTCTGAAAAAAGAGATCAAGGAAGATAGCAGAAATTGGGAAGATATCCCTTGTTCCTGGATAGGAAGAACCAATATAGTGATAATAGCTATACTTCCAAAATTGTTACACAGATTTAATGCAATCCTGATCAAAGTACCAACAGCACTTCCCACAGAATTAGAGAAAAACAATTCTAAAATTCATTTGGAACTAGAAGAGACCTAGAATAGCAAAAGGAATTCTCAGCAACAAAGGCAAGACATCACAATCCATGACTTGAAATTATAGTACAAAGCTACTGTGATAAAAACAGCATAGTACTGGCAAAACAAAACAAAACAAAACAAAACAAAGAGACCTGAGGATCAATGGAAAAGATTAGAAGATGTAGAAACAACTCCAAACACACTCAGCCACTTTTTCTACTTTCAATTTCTCCTTTTTCCCCAAACATGATAATTCTGATTTTTTCCTTCCCATATCTAAGGCCTGCTCTCTATTTACCATTTCTCTATACCTTCTTATTTGAGAAAAATAATTACAGATAGTCTGTAACCAACCAGTATTTCCAAAAATTATTGGCTTCATGTCACTTCCCAATTGATTTTTTATTTTTTTGAAACAAGAGTCTTACAAAGTTGCCCAGGTTGCCCTCCAACTTGCAATCTTCCCACCTCACCCATCAAAGTAGATGGGTTTACAAGTGTGCACCATAATGTGCAGCCCCCAGATATATATATAAATACCATACATATACACCTATCCAGACTGATTCACAACCTAACTCTCCAGTCCTTTTCTCTCACTTCTACACTGAAATCTTTGATACAAATCATACTGGTCTGTATGCTGTCTACTAAACCTACCCAGATCATTATCTGTATGGGTTTTATTAAAACCTTCCTCGGGCTGGGGATTTAGCTCAGTGGTTTCACTGCCTGCTGCGCAAGCGCAAGCGCAAAGACCCGAGTTCCATCCCCGGTACCAAAAAAAAAAAAATGCAAAAAAACCTTCCAGCTTACTATCTTCTTATGAAAGTAATTTTCAACTTTCAATGTTTGGGCAATAGAAGACCCAACATATCTGTGATGGCTTTCTAAAACCAGCAATTCCTTTGTTTTTGGAATGCTCACTGTATTCATACCATCTGTATCACTCATTGTATCCATCTCTACATCACATGGACATCAGTGTTTTATGTATGCACCCCCCACATCACACAGAAATCATGAAACATTGTTATACTACTGGTTACTACTGGTGCTACCTTTTAAAATTCAATACAAGGTAAAAAAATAAAATATGCAATAGATACATGTTTCATTCTACTTTACAAATGTAGTCATTGTTGACTTAGGTATATGAAAACTGATTTCCTAGAGTATCAGCTGTTGTACAGCACTGTCCGATGGAAATACAAAGTCAGTCATATCCTTTTCCAATAGCATATTTATAAAAGTAAAAAGAAGATGAAAATATTTACTTTTGGTTTTTTGCTTTTTGCAGCAAGCCCAGGCCTTGCCTATGCTAGAGAAGCTCTCTATGACTGAACTATTCTTTAATATAAAAATAATTTTAGTAGTATCATTTAACATAATATATCCAAAACTTATTATGTATTTTATACTTTTAGTACACCTCAACTCATACTGGCCAAATTTCAAGTGTTCAATCACATGTGGCTAGTACCTACTGTTATTAGATAGTCCTGGAGAATACAGAACTGGCATATTTAAAATTAAAATTTACTGCCAGGTGTGGTGGCATGTCTGTAACCCCAGCAATAAGGAGGCTGAGGCAGGAGGACCACTGAAATTTCGCAGCCAGCCTGGGCTACATAAAGTTCCTAAGGGTTTATCTTTATAAGTGACTTCAGTGTTTCTCTTTTGCAGTTTTCAATATTCTTTCCTTGTTTTGTACTCTTGCCATTTCAACTATAGTCTGATGTGGGAGGTTCTTTTCTGGTCATGCCTGTAAGGGGTTCAAATGTCTCTATACGTAAATGTCTAAACTTTTCCCAAGATTTGGGAAGTTTTCTGGTATTATTTCATTAAATATATTTTCTATACCACCATTAGTCTGTACCTCAGCATCCTTCTCAGCTATTCATTCAACAGCTCATTCTAGGATGTTGGAAATATTCTAAATCCGCAATTCCCAGTTCAGCGGCCATTTACCCACATGTGATTGTTGAGCATTAGATATGTAGCTAATGAAAATGAGGAACTAAGCTTCTGATTTTGTTCATTCTTGATTAATTTAAACAGACACATATGGCAAGTGGCTGTGGTTTTAGACACAGCAGATGTAAAGTACTGATCATATTTTTATTTACTCTCAATTATTTTGAAAATACTGACAAGCTCTAAATCCACTCATTTATCAGCTGGAACATTTTATAGTCTCATTTACAGAACATTAAGTATTAACTTCTTTCTAAAGATTTATTTATTAACCAACTTCTAATCACTGAAAAGTACAGGTTTTTGTTCAAACTGAGATGGGATCTCTACCTTTCCAAGTGATAAATTCAAATCATAAACTTTAACAGACTCCTTTCTCTCATTCAGCCTCAGGAGATAAAAGAGTCCAAAACAAAGAAAAGATCAGAGATTCTGTGAATTCACAAAGAGTCTACCAACATAATGCAAGAAATGTAGAAGCCAAAAGTGGTAGAATACCTATTTATTGATCTAATTATCCAAAGATGTTTTATATTTTGCTTTGTGTTTTTTTGGCACTGAGGATCGAATTCAGGACCTTGCTCTTGCTAAGCAGGCTGCGGCACCACTGAGCTAAATCCCCATATTTTGGTATTTTTTAAAGTATCTTTTTTAACATGAATTCTTAAAAATGTTGCTGCACTGCAAAAATGTTGCTGCATGGTGTAGACCTGTAGTCCCAGTGCTCTGGAGGGCTGAGACAGGAAGATCAAAAGTCCTAGCCCA